ATTAGAAATTAGAACATTGTATTATTAATGTCAATATCATATTGAATATAAGTGACAAACTGCGAAGATCAACGGTCAATAATATTGATTGAATACTTGGACTTACTTAAAATGAACGTCCTGATATACTCTCTTGATATATTGCATCTTATTCTTTTCAAACTGAGATTTGTCTACCATTTGCGGCTTCATTCTTCCAAACTTTTCTTCGATTTTTTTCGCCACTAACACCGAAATTTCATTGGCCCCGCGCTTATAGTTAGGGGTACGCGGTAACTCCGCAATTGCTCGCGATATAGTTGAAAAGTGTCTATTCAGATACGTGATTCGGTGATTGTAACTGGTAATGTGAGCCATTACCGTACGTGGATCACCACGCTTGTCGCACAAAACACACGTATAACTCGGTTCGCAGGAGTCATTGTCCACCAACTCCAATAGGTACTCGAGACCGACGAGTGGCGAGCTTTGATGACGATCTAAACTCATCTGTATCGATGTGCTCCGCGTTATTTGATCTTCCATACCAGGTGGTACTGGCTCACCAGGTGCCAAGGTATCAGTAGCAGTAGATTGCACTGGCGCGATCATCTTGGCCACATCCGGTCTTTTAGACCATAGCATAACCGGATATGGCCACTCGTCCAGTTTCATTTTGTGACGATTACACAAATTATGATTTATCAATTTATGGGCCCCGAACAAAGCAACGTTACAGATATGACACCATATATCACCATCTTCAGTTTCTGAGTAAACGGGTCTGAGTGCGCCGTCTTCGGCGGTAACGCTGCATCGCATTATACGCTTCCGATCATATTCTTCCTATGAAACATAAACGATTCGTAAGGCAGATTGATCTTCCGTTGTCGAATGCTAGTCTCAAAAATATCCGTAATTCGCAATGGTCCATATACTATTTTCGTGAAGAATGGAACGTTAAATGTATATGACAACTGATATGATAACAGATATGTGCAAAACAATTATTTTGACTGTAACTTGGACTTGCATATTTGATAAGATATATTTGTTTGAAATTATACTATATTAGCACAATTTATAATAGCAATCGTTGCTATTATTATATATGTAAAATTGTTTCTGTAGCCATCAAACATCTACTTACCTTTTCTTTAGCCTCTTCTGATATATGAGAAGGATTACGTCCCTCTATATCGAGATCATCAAAGTTCTGCATGGTACGGTCGTAATAGCGGATGACGCGGTCACCAGAAATATTCTCTGAAAATATCGAAATCTTATAAGGCCAAAAAAAGTGATGGCCATGGCACATCAAGGTTGGCACAAAATTGCAATTGCAAGATTCGCTTACAAAATTCGCGAAGGTAACTTTTTATGAAGAAGCACATTAGAAGAAAATCATAATGCACCAATAAAATATAAGCGAATGTTACATTCACAGATATCACCGAGTTTATCTGTGAATATAGTTTCAGTATTGTATTAGCCAACCCTGCAGTAGCGGTTTCTGGTAGCATATCAAATTTGTTAGTTATTTTAATTTAGTTGGAAATTTTAATTAGCCGTACTTACTTACCATTATTACTGCCGCATGTGCTAACAACTAATATTTAACCGAAATAAATATTTACAGTGCCATATATATCCAATGTATAACACAGTCATACGCAAATGTCAAAGACAGATGTCATACTTAACTCAGAAGTATGTTATTTAAAAGTAAAAATTACAAATTTTTACATATTCCATGTGCACACGTGCGAGAAAAAGACACGTAGCACAAAGCAGAATACATTATTTTAAAAATTCATTATTCTCATAAATAGAAAATAATACAAACTGTATGAACTCCGATACTTCAAACAAATTAAAACAAAGGAAGTTATAGGAGTCAGACATGGTAAATGTGCAGATAAAATTTTATATGTCACACTTACTCAGTATGTCATTGAAAATTTTACAACATTCTACTAGCACGTTTCAAAAATATGTTTCAAAACAAGATTTTATGATTCTATTGTAATACAGTACAAAAAAAAATATAGAAATTGCATAAACGGCTAATAAGCTTTCTACAATAAGCCTAAGCTTTGAATCTTAAGCCTAAGAAATTTACTTAGTGATCATTAGACTGCGGATATTTATGCAAAATACTTAACTGAATATTAATTATCGGACTTTAGTAGTCAATCGTTAAAGAGTTATTAAAAAGTAAAATAAAAAGATTGCCATCTGTAAATATGGAATTTATGCAAAATGTGTATTTTATACAAAATATTCAAGTATTTTGCATAAATATCCAGTCTAGTCATCATACTCGATTATTATTTTCACATTCGACTGTGACTGGTCAATTACTTACTGCTTAAGATTTATAGCTTAAGTAACGGCTTATTCTAGAATGTATGTTTTACCTATGTATTATACTACATAATGAACATAGATAAAAGTATTTTTATATGCGTAAAGTTACAATGTTTCACATATAAGGGAAGGTAAGGCATTTTATCTTAGCATTTACGAATCGCTATGAGTAATCACTATTTATCACCTTGCTAGAGTATTTAAACAATCCTCCAGCTACTTACCAACTATAAGAGAAATATTAGAATTCCAAGAACCGTTTCCACTACAAAAAACCACCAAAAAACCACCAACTTAAACTGAACTGATTTTCCATAGGAATCACAAGTGGGGCAAAGTTAAGACGTTCTTTAACTTCGCCAAATTGACTGATAATTAACAAGATAAAATATTCCGCGAGTCAATCGTTCGCAACAACCATACCGTATAACACTCCGCGTTATACAAAATGTATGTGTGTGTGTAAATATTTTAATCCGGCACTTTGTCCCGAACAGATAGACCGCGATCGCGCGTTATCTAGTCAGATCGTACAATCAAACGTAGGAGGTTAATACGTAACGGCAACGTTTATACCATTACGTGTCCTCGTAGAAGCGAAATACGCTTGTTTCGATAACGCGGAGCATCCGCGACGATACATAAACACTAACGAAGGTGACAATAATTCCCCTGAAAAATTGAACACCTCGCCTCGCGTCATCTTGGACATCGATCGTTGACTTGATCATTCTCGTTTTATATCATGACATTCGGCGAGCCGACGGAGTTGACTTACCTAATGTCTGTTCGCTGTCACTCAGTAAGACTGCCAATGTCACAGCCCGAACGTCTTTCAAGATAATTTACGAAAAATAGCAAAACAGCTTCTTCATCGTTATGGCGAAAGCCGTACATCCGTGGCATATCACATTTGCATAACTATTTATGGATGCAGGTTGCACCTGTCAATGATTGAATGAAACACGAATAGTGTCCCTAGAATACACTAGAATGGACAGTGCGTTTTTTTGAGTGCGTTCCGAGTTAAGAAACTAGTTACACACACTTTCCGTAACAATAACCGTAAACGTAACAATAACTGTAAACGTAACGTAGGTTTTTGACCAATCGCATTGCTCGATTCGGTCATTTGTAACCGTAACAATTGAGCAATGCGATTGGTCGAAAATCTTACTGTTACTAGCTTTATGCATGATCATTTTATCCTTTTTTATTATTTGAACAACAAGGACAAATGATGCATCATGCGCTTTACACGGAATTCGGAACGCACTCTTTAAAATGTTCGTATTCTGAAATAAATGATCGTTTGATGGTAATTCAGGAAAATATATGATATAATTAACTTATATTGGTAAGGCAGAATTAAACAAGTTCGTCGCATAGAAATAAGGATTAAAAAAAATGTGAAAAATATATATACATACATATAAAGTTTGTATTAAATTTGTGAAAATTAATTTTTTTTTAATAAAAAATTTAATTAAGATGATTTTTGTTGTAACTTTGAATTTTCAATTTTTTGGTAAATAATATTTAGATTTTTAGTCCCGGGAAAAAATATTATATATATGGATATATTTTATATATAATTATAATTCCATAAAATATGTCAATTTTATAAACACTTAAAACCAAAATAATATTATTGTAATTAATTGAAAAATGAGATTACAAATTATAATATCTACAAATTTAAATAAATATGGACAAATGTAATAAACATGTTTATAAAAATATCACTTTTTTATTTTAAAAATAATACAATTTAAAAATGATTTTCAAATTATTAACCAAAAAAAGTTAAGCAAACATTACCTTATCGATTATCAAAAGTTAACTAACTTTTAATAATCAATAATTTTATAAAAATTGCAATTTAAAAAGGAAATGGTTTTTTTTTAAACTGTGAAATGAAAATGACATTTGATTATATTATCAAGCAAAAAGAATAGTGCTTCCCTTTTCTGGAAAATTGAAATGTTTTGTTGTGTCATTTTTAAAATGAAAGAGTGATATATGAAAAAGATTTGTAAAAAATAATTTCATTAATTTTTAAATTAAATAGAATCAAAATATCAAAATTATCTTAAAATATATTTTTTATAAAATGATCATTTGTCTAATTACAAAATGCAAATTACAATTTTATAGGAACAAATAATTTTATTTATGTCACTGAAATAAAACGATCAAAATTAAATGAAAAGATAATTCCTTCGTTCCACTTTATCGAACGTACTATATCATTTATGTTTATTTCTTGCTTATTTGTGTATATGTTTATTTATGCTTATTAAGTTATTTTCTTACTGCTTTTTTATTATTAGAATTACAGCTCTTTTCTTTCTTTTTTTAAAAATCTATGGGATATTATGAGAAGATTTATATAAAAAAAAACCTATAAATAATTTCGAAATGTTGTATTAAATATGATCAAAGCATATTTATTGATAATTGTCATGACACATATTCTTCGTCATCTGAATGAAAATCAACCTACATACGAAAAAATATTGGAACTCATGCGGGGATATTGTAACCGGTGGCAGGAGAGGCCCTGAGATGCGTGGGCCTGACACATTCGCGTGGTCCCATTGACGGTCAGTCGGCGGCCTCGATCTTCACTGTTAGCGTGGATGTGTCCTTACAACTTTGCGCTATCATCAGGAATGCGTTTTCGCAAGTACCGGTAATCCGAAGGCGCGATTATGCTATCACGCTACTATGGGATATTTATCTTGTGTATTGCCACGGTAGCTGGAGCATCGTTTCCGTCGGTGGGGAGATGGTGTTCTATCTGGTTCACGCTAAGTAGCGTTAGCGTGCTACTCACCTTACCGGAGATCACACACCAATGGTCACTCTTAGGATTGAATCTCTGGTCAAATCATGCAACGCATAAGCCGACGTCTAACGAGCTTTTTGAACGTGACGCGACTCGATTTTCCAGGGGTGAGTACATTGCGAACGTTATAACATTATACAAACGAAGTGAAGAAATTGAAAAGAGGAATATCCATACACGAAAAGAATAATTTTGATGAAATATTCTAAAAATTTAGCAATACTGAAAAATTATTCTTGTTTGACTGAATCAATTGCTTATTTGATGAAATTAATATAAATATTAATTTATCTTTAATCTTTATTTCTTTCGCTGAAAAATATGATATATTTTAATTAAATATATAAATACATATATTCTTTTCATCGAATGAAAAAAAGATGAACTGAATCAATTTAGTGAACAGTTTTTTTCTTAGTGCAAATAAAGATCTGAAAATAATTTTGTTGGATTATCAAAATATGTAGTACTCTTAAACGTCGATGGCAAAACATTCTAGCAATCACTTAGAGTGTTATATAATTATTTTGATAATCCAAACAAAATTATTTTTAGATCTGTATCTAGCTAAATTTTTGAATACTTCAGCAAATTTTTTTTTTCCTTGTATAGTTCTCGGTAACGTATTTTAATAATTCAAAACCAAAATACTATTATCACGATGACGATATATATTTTGAACATTGAACAAAATTAGCGCTGACACTGACATTGTCTTCCTCTTTTAAGCTGAAGAAAATTGAAGATTTTGTAAAGAAAATTGTATGTCTTTTGTATCAGTATTCTTAACTTACCATCGCGTTTGTTTTTTGAATTGAGAGAGACATAAATGAAAGAATAAATCCTTTTCCTTGCAACGTGCATGCAATTTTAAGAATTGCGAAGGTACTTTTCCAAATGTATTTTCTGCCTATTAAATGATACATATGATGATAAATTATACAATACGATTCAATAAATAATTGTGCAAATACTATTTATTAGTTTTTGATGATATTTTTACCATTGAATTACTTGTTTTTTTTTCACCAATCAAATGTGTCGTTTTTCATTTTTAAAAAGTAATTGATTAATTCGCAGCACTTGAATTAATTATTTAAAAAATTGAGTAAAAATTAATAAAACAGCGAAGTTAAATTTTTATTGAAGGCTTCTTGGAGAAGTCCTCTTTCGAATGAAAAACGTAATGCAATGCTACTTATAAATACAATAAAAAGACGTTAAGCAAATAATGCGGATTGCAAATAATTCTACATTGAAGAATTGTACTAAATTTTAATAAATCATTTTTTTAATAATACTAATTAAATATTTATTAAATATAAAGATATATTTATTTAGTACAAGAATCATTAATTTGATTAATTATTTTTATTGAGTAAATATTGGGTCATCTAAAAAGTATCGGTTTTTTGTCACTAGATGGGTTGACCATCAACACCATCTAGTGACAAAAAACCGCGGATACTTTTTAGATGACTCAATATTTATTTGATACTATTCAAATAAATATTTATTAAAATTTAGTACATTTTTTCAGTATATTGTTCTATACATTCTATAAATTTGTATCTGTAGATTTTCATCAAATTCCTCGCATAATCAATTTATCTATTGCCTACATTTATTTACATTTCGGAAAGTGACATTATTTAACGGTTAAAACGAGGGAATTTTTCCCAGTTTATTTGACTCATTTCACGTTTATCCGCAGTGCTGAACTTCTTTCCCGTTCCGGTCGAAGAAGAGTGCCTGTCCGAGGACAAACGACGTCAGGGAATATGCATGAACACATATGAGTGCCGTATTCAGCGCGGGCAATCTCACGGATCGTGTGCGCTCGGTTTTGGCGTGTGCTGCATATGTGAGTATACTTGTCATTCGTACGTGAATATAACTTGTCATGCGCATCATCTTAAAGCGATATCGTGAAACCTATCTGGAGGACCTACAGAAGCGCCAATTCATTCTGGTTGCGATAAAAATGATCTCTTTCGTATTCATAAATATTTCTAATTCCTAATGAAATTACTAATTCCTAAAGATATTATGTGTCACTTTTCTATACCCTTATTTTTTCACGCTTAGAGAAATTTTTGATTTCAGGTGTACGTAATTATAAACAATAGTTTAGATAACTCAAAATTATTTACATAGAAATGCGATACATTAATGCATTGCATAAAAGATAAAGACAATTTCATTTTTAATTTATTTAAATAAAAAAATGAAATTATAAATAATTTCTTCTAGATAACATTTTAAGATAATATTCTTTTTCAACAAAATAATTTAAGATATAGAAACAATATTACATTCACATTTTTATTTATAATATAAATCTTTATTTCTTATATACAAGCAAAAATTTTTCAAATTTTTCGTCCAACAATTTTCGAATAATACATTGATGCCAAGACGCTCCATTGACACCGATATTCAAGTATAGTAAAAATGTTATACTTGAAGAAAATCTATGTGACATGTGGATAAAAAATAAAAATTCAATTGTTTAGATTTAAATGTTAAACATAAAACTATTTCAATGTTAAAATTAAAAGTGCACATACATACATGTATATTTTCTTTTTTTAAATTAAATAGTAAAAAGAAGACAATAAGCAATAGCGTTGATACATCAATCCTTAAAATTACAAAATCTGTACAGCATTCATCTAACAAGATTAAACGTCCGTTTTACATACATATATAAAAAGGGAGATGTTTTAAAATCCTACGTACTAATCTCGCTATACATTGATATAAATTATTTTATGCCCATTTCCTCCAACGTATATTAACTTCAATCTCGATTTAACGATCTTACTCTTCATCTTTCTCTAATTTTTAGAATTAAGAAAAAGACAAAGAGTATAAAAGTTGAACCGAGATTAAAGTTAATCTACATTGATGCAAAATGGATAATACAATTAATATAAGATAATTTGAAAAGTAGCACTTTTTTTATTTAAGATAAAGATGGAAATAATACATATTCTAATAACACATAAAGATAAGAGGAAGCCATTCCTTCATCCAGATACTTATCTAGATAATTTATAGATAATTGCAAATACTGAACGTTTTTGTTTATTTAACTAACTGATTGATCAAATTTGCTACGTCATTCTATCTTACGTCATTATTTCTTTTATGCGACGTTACTGTTTAACATCGTCCCAAAATAAAGCGGAAAATATACTTCTGGTTAGGAATCGTGCGTTATTTTTAGCGTCTAAAATTGTATCTGTGTAACCGCGATTTTCTTATTCGCTTTGTCGATTTGATGCCGAATCGATCAGCGCTTTTCTGCTAAGTTTAACGGTATCGCGATAGCCGGGTGTAACTCCGAGGCGATCTCAAGCAGCACGTTCTCCTCGATAGCGTGAAAGGGAGTAGAAAGAAGGAAAGAAAAAAAGGAGGAACGGTACGCTTACTTGGTGAGTTCGCACGAGGAAGAACTTGAAGACCAGGTTATACAGTTACTTAATTGCCTTTCGGTGCGGATACAAGTGTTGTATTATACGAATTCCACTGTCTCCCTATAATATCTTGTTTACATTGCTCTTAACAATTCGCAAATATCGAGCGTGACCGAGCATATCATTCTTTAAAAATCTATATTATAAATATGCAGTTCCATGTGTAATTGAATTGCGAGATTGTATCTCCTCTAAGCGCGTTATATCGTAAAATTTTACATTTTATGGACACGTGCGACATATTTATCCTTCTAGCAATGAATTTTCTGTAGAATTTAAACTTTATATTCCCACAAAATCCATTGAAATTTGCTGAAAGATAGATATCAACGGTGCTCATCTCCAATTCTAAAATTTACTTCACTGAACGTTTAAAATTTGCAACGTTAGACTTAACAACTTCGTAGTTGGCCGCTGTATTAAATTCTCATTAATTAGGGAAGGCACCGACTTGAAATTCGTTAAGTAATGCACCATTTATATACATTAATGGTGATTAGATTATTACAAACTGTGTAGGTTTCTAGCGGAAGGTAAATTTAGTACAGATTTTACTTATTTCTAAAAAAATTTAATATTGATTTCATTTCCTCGAAAAAAAATCTCCTCGGATTAAGATTCTATTATGCAGCTAACGATATTAATTTTCTTTGTGAGGAGGTAATTTAAATGAAACTAAAATAGAAATTTTGTAGCATTACTTTTAGGTGTACATCTTGATGATGATTAAACTTTTATTATAACGAACATCCTCATTTTATGCCGCTACTTAAAAATTTAAGCCTCATGTAGCGCGGAAAAATTTTTATGCGCTAGCCTGAAACCGTTCCACCGTCCGTTTCCGTTTTATAAAGTCTCTCGTCCAATCGCTCCTTGTTACTTTTTATTCGGTCTGCATCCATTCGCTTTTTCCGTCACGGTGCTATTGCACAGTCGAAAGCAGAGCCATACCGTACGTACGGATTCTTGACCGATTTCGCGAATACAACTTCTTGCCATCCATATACGCTGCATCTTAAAAGTCTGAGTTTTACTTATATCGGTCTATCGTCGGATGCCATCATCCCGCAGAAATAATTTAATATCGCAAAATTTAATGTGTTATGAAAGAAAGATGATGCATATGCACTTCGAGCAGATTTACGAGAGCTATAACACGAACGAATAAATTTCTAATGCTCTCATGGTCAAAAGACATGGACGTGACCTTTAGATGTAAATAGCTCATCGCAGTTTTACGGGATTAGAAAGGCAATTATGTAATAAGCGGCGGACAACAGTATAAAAAGGGATATATATATATATATATATATATATATATATATGTGTATACTCTTTTAGGTACTGATATTTTCTGACTTGTAACATTTCTGTCGAAGAAGACTTTCAATCTATGTGATTTATTAGAGTGCTCTTTTTGCGCTCTCAGGACTTACTATCCGTTTATGTTTTCGTTTCGTTGAGATATTTAGGATCGGTTGTTGTTTGGATAAACAATGTGATAATTTATCTAATGGAAAAGAGAGCTGAATAAAGAAAGAAAATGAGAGCACAGAGTGAATGAGCTAATATTTATCAAAAGGTGGGGACAAACTGGTTTTAATCTTTAATATAAATTAAACGTTGTAATATTTTATATTAAAAATGTATTTTAAATTAAGGATGTATGTATTACATATTAAAGCTAAAAATATAAAAAAAAATTTCATAAATTGTTGCCTCGGTGATCTAAAGACTTAAACCGGCTCGCTCAGAAAGCGAGAGATCCGGGTTCGACTCCGGGTTCGAGGTAATATTTTTCACAATAAGAATTAATTATTTATAGATTTTAATATGACACTCAACATTAAGATCGTTCAAAGGTGCAAAAAAGCATCAAATTGTTATATTGCTCAATTTAACTCATGATATTACTGAAGTAGTTTAATAAAGTTAGCGTTTCAAGATCGAAAAATCATTTCGGCGCGCATTCCAAAGAACTACATACGTAGTATATTTATAATTCACACATATAATCATAATATAATTTAAAATCCAGCTAAACCGTTTAAAACATTGATTTCTATCGTTTGTGTTATTACATATATGAGCCTATAATATATATTATATTGTTTCATAAATTGTATTATTATGTTTATTTATGTACAATTTAAGCACAATTATCTTATTGGTTATTTAATTTTTTTGTTTGTTTTGATTCTTGTATAAAAGAATATTTTGTAGTACTTATTTGCAATTCGATAAGATCATAGCGAAGATTGTAGCGTTATAAATTAAATCAAATTTTTTTTATATATACTATATATAATAAAACTATAATAAATATTAAAAATATTAAAAAATTTTATTTGGTCCACTTGCATTTAAAAGTTATTTACTGCAGCAAATATGATTATTTCGATCAGGATTTTCGCATTACTGCTTAAAGCCCTGATAAGCCAATTTGTTGTTTTATTTTTTGAAATTGACTTCAATGTTGTGTATTGATGATAAAAATTTTTTAACTGATACTGATTTTTTTTAGCTGATTTTTTTAGCTGATATTGTATACAGTCAAAATCTTCTTAAAAATTGTAACACAAAAATGAAAGAAAATTAGTTGCAAATTTATTAAAGAATCCGCTATTAGAATTAAGAATATAAGATCAGAGATTCTGAGATATCGTATTTATCCAAGTAAGATTCTATGTTATATATGTGCATACGTATGTATATATTAATTTGCATACACAACACATACTATATACGATGTGTATATGGTTCGCAAGCTTCAGATCAAAAGGTTACCTATCTTGTCTACTTTTTGTTTTTTTGTACTTTTTTCGTTGAATCATTGAATGCACACTTCCTGCAACGCGACATCAGCCGCTCATACATTTTTTATATTGTCCACCGAGTTGTTTCCTTGGAACCACCAGAGGAAGTAAGATCTATGTGCGAAGGCAGCGGATTTCTTCTAGCCGGCGGGTGTTGAATAGCGATTCTAAAACGGTCACTGAATGCCTGAATGAGAACTCGTTATCGAAGCCGGAGGCTGTTCGCATAGGCGACGCCCATAATGGATACTTCACGAAAATGTTAGACTGTCTGGCATTCGCATTTAATCCGTCCACATGGACGTGAATTTCAAATAGGAAATTTCGGCGAAAACCTAACGGGTTATTCTTAATTAATTAATAATGACTGTATATTATAATTTTTCGCATTTGTACATCCGTGTTTTTCCTCATGTAAATCAATCTACGTGAAAAATTAATGAATTTTGGAAAGACGTTGCGGAAAAGAGCTATTTAAAGTGTAATAGTAGGGGAAGGAAATGAAGTATAAAAGTTTGTACTGAATATTCCTTAGAAAAGCCACTATAGAACTCAGGTGTCTGATTTCCCACTTAACTTTAGAAGGCTAAAAGCGCATTATTAGCTTGAGCTTTAAACGTTCGAGCATTAGTAGTCTGAGCTTTAAATGCGAGGCAATTCATTATTCGTTCATCAATGTAATCTTTTATCAAGCGTCGCTAATATTAATTTAACGAGTTTAGTGATGAACGCTATTACTTCGCATTTGGTCAGCTTGTTTGAATCAGCTTAAATTTGGAAGTAAAATTCTACGGAATTGTGCGCGAGGCCTTCATATTCTTACTCCAATTAAATATTCCGAAGTGTATACGAAACGTAAACGTCCTACGGTCGGTACAAGTATTTTATTAACTGTGTCAGTAATTAATATGGTTTACAGTCACGGCAAGCTGCGACAATGAGGTACAGAATAATCTGACCTACGTGACCAGTCCTGGTTTTCCCAACCTCATCGACCGGCCTATGAACTGTTCAGTGCTTGTACGAAAGATCGATACGGAGGTCAGCCAGTTGAGGATCGACTTCGTCCATTTCAACATTGTAAGTCTCAGGAATGTCTTATTATTATAGTGTTATCTACTAGGAATAGGCTAGTTGCAACTAGCAACTGTCGATTCCCCGGAGTGCTGTTTAGTACATCTAATATTCCACGAGTTGTCAAGATAATGTCGATATTAACACGTGCGAAGAATGTATAATTTTTTTTTCAAACAACTACGCCAACATTTCTTTCTATATACTGTTCAATATTAACAACATTTGAAAATCTTCGTCAGTGCTGTTTTTCACCCAGACGGCACAATGTTTAAAATTAAAACATAAGACATCTTTAAGATATTTTATATTCCGATTTTGAACATTATGCTACCTGGATAGATATTATAGTTTAACTTTATTATAAATAAATTTGAAAGAATGAGTAAACGAGGAAAAGAAAGAAGAGAAAGAAAAGAGGAAAAGACAAAATACATAAGAATAAAATAATCATGAAGAAAAATTGCGTATTACTTCTTATGTTACACAATTTCAGGTGACAAGCTAATGTTATTTATCATCATTTTTGACGACGGTAGACATTATTTTTACATAAATGGCGAAATTATATCAGCATATTTGGAATATGTCGCATTTAATACAAATAAAACACACACGTAATTCGTTTGAGTTAACGATGTGTATATATGAAGTAATCGCAAAAACAGAAAAGGTACATGGAAAGAAAATTAAATTAAAGAATAGTTTTGTTAAAGCACCTAAAAATTTAGCTAGATACATATCTAAAAATATAATTTTGTCACACCATCAAAATTATATGCGCTCAAGAGAGTTGCTAGAATGTCAAAACTTTTTGCAACATTGTTTATTATGAAAGTCCTACATAATTATTTTGCAAAATAATAAAAGAAATAGGTTCACATACACACACACACACACACACAAAACTAGATTAAATCTATCATTGTGTGTCTATCGCTCGAATCATCAGTATCTCTGTGAAAAATCTCATTTTTCTATTTGTTATTCGAAAAATTTAATAATAATATGATTGCTTATGCATAACTTGTTTAACTTCATCAATTGACAATTTGATGACCAAGTTTTGACTAGTTTATGACATCCAATAGATTGACTCGCATTAGAGCATTCTCTTTTCATTGCATTTTTTCCGAATAATTTGCAATTTTTATTTTGTTTGCGTTTTCAACGTTTTAAGTTTATTGTACTGAAGATGATCCAAACCGAGGGTTGAAATGTATATGTATATTCACTTCTCTAATAAATGGTTTTGTTATTAGGTGTTGGAATTAATTCGTAGCGTTTTACAAGTGATGGGAAGTACTTTCATTAATGTATTTTTTAATGCTCATGTGAAATAAATAACATTCTTTCATTAAAAAACGCTACGAATTAATTCCAACACCTAATAATTTACACTCATCCTGTGTTAGCGCACATCGGTATTATTTGTCGTGATATATATTTTTTTATTTTATCATAATTATTTTGACAGTTTAACAAAATTATTTTCAGATTTGAATTTAATTAAATTTTAGATACTTCAGATAAATCGTTCTTTTCGTGTACGTAATATATGTAGAAGTAAAATTTGTTTTAGGGTCAGCCAAACGCTTTGACTGGCGTGTGCGATGGAGATGTCATGGTAATTAACAGTAACAAGACATCTTTCGAACTATGCGGATGGAACAGCGGACAACATGGTGAGTGCTGCTTGTTTCAACAATTTCTTACACAATCTTTATAATTACAGCTTTTGTAGTACCACGAATCTAATAGTGTTAAAATTCGATTTCTCTGCACGCGCGAGACATCACGCGCACGTATACGTTTTTCGAGCAATTTAAATAGCACAGACTGCTTTATATCTCGACACAGTGTACGTGGACGTGGGCGAAGGCAACGAACCAATCACTTTAAACTTCCGGCTGCCAAGCGGACTGCAGTCACGAATGTGGGAGATGCGGGTGATGCAGCTGGGTTTCGAGCAACGTGCACCAGTTGGATGTCTCCAATACTTTCGCTCGCCCAACGGCACGCTAAGGACATTTAATTATCTCCCGAACGGCAGATATCTCGCCGAACACGATTACCTATTATGCGTACGTCAGGAAAGAGACATGTGCGGTATCTCTTATCAACCTTGCACGCGAGACTCTTTTCGGATAGGTCCTAATAGATCTCAAGATATGTCCAATACGACCAATAACACAATTCCCGCAATGATCGCTGCAAACAGCGGAAATGCCTCTACAGCTGTCGATCCAAACGTCACTTCTGTAAACGGTTCCGGTATGGACATTGTCGAGGGATCCGGAGCAGGATTATCTGAACAGGAAATGGCTTTTATCTCCAACATGAATTCGGTACCTTTTTTTGGAAGACGGTGCAGAGACAGGATACTTATTCCTTGCGATTTCGAGGAATTTATTACAGTACGTTATGTTTAATAAATATTTTCTTTATTATACTCAAATAGCACGTATGTCCAAAATTGAGTCCTAAAACATTTTATGTTTCGATTTTAAATATGTGCTATCTAAGTAATTATTATGTAAAAAAAGTCTAGTAATACCTAGTAATGCATACGAATTGTATTTATAAATGTCAACTTGTACTACTTCAAATTTATTACTCCAAAAATTTGGACTTATGTGATAATTTGGAAACTGGAATTTTTAGTATAAGAGGATTAACCCTAACACACGCGATTGATGTTCTGCGACGATTCCTTCTCTTTAAAATATGGGAACATTTCACTAAATAATGGTCTTTATTTTTTCTTTTCTTTTTTTAATATACAATTTTATGAATACTTTTTAAAGACGTTAAAGTATGTAAGAATTATTTAATAATTTCTGTATACTTATAAAAGTGACGAAAATCAAGCCAGGTCACGAATAACGTCGTATTTAATAAATCGGAATATCGTCGTGTGTACGAAGAATTAATTACAGTAACTTTGGCACACTTTGTAAGAAAATGGAAGCGATATCTCGTTTAATAGTTCAGCAAATGTCTGTTTTAGCCGGGAAACAACATGGCAGGTATCTGTAATTTGGAGCGTTGCGGCAGTTCACTGTGCGGCCGAAACGAACTCGACACAGAAGGCAATTGCCGAGTCGAGACTTGGACTACTCCCTTTCGTATAAGGGTAGCGTTTGGTCCGGGTATCAACATGGACGGCACATTGGAAGACAATGCCGGCATGTGCCTCACGTACCAACAGTTAGCTTGTGTAGCTTGAGCGTTATAATTATCTCACTCTTCTTATGCAAGGCGCATAAAACGTAAAGCAGAACGCTGGACGACCTATAAATGCGGAGACAACTGTCGAACAGAAGAAGGAAGCGTCATCGACTGCATCTGTACTGTCTGCAACACTGTTTCTGTAGCATTGTCAAGCGACGTCGTTGTCGCTTTAGCAGGCGTAAATATAGGAAATATTTTCGAACGAAATAAAGAAGATTTCGCTTGCGGGGGATTTTGTTCATTCGGCTTAGACTAATGGACGTGAGATTACGGGACGGGAATTATGGGATTGAGATTGAAGTATTGTGTTGTATAATTAATACCGCAAAAAAATCAAAGAGTCAAATAGTTTTTATTTACAAATGAACTAGCTTAAATCGTAAACGCAGCGCACAACTCTCGATATAGTGATATATGTATATATATATATATACATATATATATATACATACGCCTTTGTGTCCCGCTTCTTTTTTTTTTCTCTTATTCGATTACCCGTCACGATCATCGGCTACAATACGCAGTGTATTAATCACGGGGCACCGATTTCTCACGTCGAGATTTCCCCAAACGCGAGATTAGCGGTAGAACGATTATTTATATATAATGTATGTACGATGGTAGCTTCCGCTGCGGAAGGCGCCGACGACAATCACGGCAATCGTTAGCGATAACAATAATGACGTTACAAGAATAAATTATAATGTCGTTAATACAATAATAATGTCGACGATGACAACATCACCTCGAATTGCTCTTCTAGAAGAAACGTGTGCTCGTCATCTTGCCTCCGAAGAAGTCAAGATCGCGTTAGTCTTCCTTTTATACAAGCTATTTCGCATATATCTATATATATATACGTCGTGTATAATAATTATAATTCGTAATTCATAATGATAACGATAAGAAAATTAGCGGTAATATAATGAAGACAATTCGACGACAGTGGTGAACTGCAGCGGTTACTTCGATGTCGTCGTCGGCGACGTCGCTGTCGTATAATTCGAAATCATACGTATCTACCTACGAAGTCAAAAGGACTGTTAAGTAGCATAAGAGAGGGCGGTGGTCGCGACGAACGTGTATGCAAATATGTACGTGATTATGTGTGTCATTGTATACGGTCACTTAGTGCGGGGGCACATGTTTTTGTCCTATAATACTCTATAATTTTTTGGATATCCGTGGGGCATTTAACTCGCGAAGTGCTGAGGCCATATATTTCGAGTAAATCTATACAGAAGTTAAGTTTAAATAAATAATAATACACGACGTAAAAAAGGGGTTTATTTCTACTTTTTTTTTTTTTATTGAAACGGTATACCAATTTTTATTTCACAGCTGCTATATGTAAAACGCGTCATATATAATAGGCTTTCTACAATAAACCATGCATTACTTAAACTTTAAGCTATAAAAAATTGACTAATCACAGTCACATGTGAGAACAATAATCGACCATGATTAATCAATTTTTTACTTAAGTCTTACAGCTTAGGTAATATTACAGCTGCTGTCAGTAGAAAAAAATAGTTTTGCAACTGTTATAAAATTCTTTAATATGATTAATCTTGCCTTTAGAGTTTCTCACTGGATCTGAGTAATATAAATCAATCATATTCAAGAATTTTACAACAAAGTTGCAAAGCTGCTTTTTCTGTTAAATGCAGCCAATAGCTTATCGCAGAAAGCCTATAAATGATGTATCAGTTGAAATGCCCAACAAAAATGTCCAACAATAATTTTGTAACAAAAAATTAACGGTCGGTTGTCTTCAAAATGATTAAATACCCCACTGTATCCGATTGAGCTACGTGTTCTTGAAGAACTGTCGGACGTTCGTCGTTGTATTTACATCGTCGAGCGATACAACGGAGCAATGTACAATTCATGGCGCTTACGGTATGCACAGGTAACGTGAGACTCAAGCAAATGATATTTGACAGTACGATATCGAATCTCGAGATATTTTGTGGAATATCCGATAAAAGATTCAAGTCTGTTTCGCGATGGTGAATTTGACGAGAGATTCGGATGTTCGGATGTCGGTAATCTCCGATAAGTTTTTTCCGAAGTTTAAAAAATTTATTTACGTATAACATGAAAATCTCTTTCGACGAGATTTTTTTTGTTTTTTTTGTTTATCCTTACATGCTTGTATCGAGAGTTATCAAAGAATCCGAGAAGTTGTCACATATCCGAAGTATATCCGTTGGGATATATGAAACTTCTATACGATTATCTGGAATTATTAATATCCGATTGATATCCGAAAGTTCGGATGTCCGGATATAACTTGTACCTCCGTATAAAACTTGTATCCGCGTAACCTGCACATCCCGTTATCAATTAACCGAATTCTACGTATTAGAAAACCTGGTATTACAAAACCGGATTTTTACCCTTGATTCTGAACAGCAGCGAAATCAAACGGAAAACGCTTAAAGGAAAACGCAGAAAGGTAACGAGAACCCCAAAGGCGATCAGGATTGCCAGATTTTTCTTTTCGGATCGCAAACGGTGGATCCTGAATTTAATAGTAGCGAAGAAAATCGGGTCTTTCATTCTGGGTCAAATTGGCACAGAATACGTAACGTTAAATGGAAAGTAACAGCACGCGAGTAAACACGTAGCGAGAATAAATTTAACGCGTTTGTAACGAGTCAGCAAATGGATAATCAATAATCATTAATCAATTTCGATTAGCCGTGGCGTTAGCACATCGCGTTATCGTATACCCGCTTAAGCCAGGCTTTAAAGTGGGACGCTCGATGTTGAAAGCGAGGGTGTCGAGGGTACATGCGTCAGGAAGAATCGGAACATTTTCGCGAAGAAAAAAAAAAAAAAAGAAAAAGAAAAAGTCTTGACTATCCGGCAATCCTGCGTAACTAAAAGCAAGGAGCGAACGCGATGGTTAAACCGCAAGCGGCAAATGTACATTACTGTAAATTATGCTAACGTTACTGGCCGTCACGAAATGAGTAGGTACCATAAGACGTCGCTACCAATGATGCAGCATCAGAGCAACAAATGTGTGTGGATCGCACATACACATGGAATCTGTACACACTCGCTTTTTCCCCTTAAAAACTGTTGTGCGTGCGTGCTCATTGTACCCGCCGCCGATATGCATTTTCTTTTTTTCTCCTTCCCCCTTCCCCTCGCCCATTTCTGGTCGTTTTACTGGGTCATTTAAGGTAGGGGAAACGATTGTAATTCGTAAATTGATCGATGATTCTACGAGCGATTATCGTTTATCGAAGAAGAGAGAGAGAAAGAGAGAGAGAGAGAGAGAGAGAGAGAGAGAGAGAGAGACACGTCATTCGCATTACTCTATATTCTATTTCACTCGACTTCACCTTAACTTTCAGCTCTATTATTCATTCGTATTCAAAAAAAGATATAGTGGTAGTAGCTATAGAAGTGACAGTTACCCAAGTTTTTTTATACGTAGAATTAGTGTACGTAGTTATTGTAACTATGAAGTTGTTTATTCAACTTCTATGCACATTAAGTCTGCGTAGAAAACTTGTATAATCTTCACCTTTATGGACTTTTTTTATAATAACCTATTACGTAAGCTTAAGTCTTAAGCCGTAAGAAATTGACCAATCAGTCGATTATTCTTTTCACATTAGATTATGATTGGTCAATTTCTTAACAGACTTAAGCTTGCAATAGTGGCTTATCGTAAAAAGCCTATTATAGTTGCTATCACTACGTTTTTCTCTGAATGCAAGTAAAACGAAGATCGCACTTTGGATCGAATGGTAATGCTTTCCCTTTTGAATATATTCTCGCAAAAAATTCGGCACAAATTGCTGCATCGGACAATTTACAAACATCACGTTGGACTTATTGGTTCGAGACATTTATCACGGAAGAGAGCCGAAAGTATCAGCCGAACGTTACAGTACGACTCGGAATAGAGTTCCCGCAAATGTAGGTACAATGTACTTGAATCCAAATGTCTCCCCCCGATCGGAAGGACCGCGAAGGAAAGAAGACATTTGGAGTCTTCGGCATCGACCTAACGCAAGTCGTGCGCGTTTATTCCCGCTCTCTTATTTCGAGTCAACATTGTTGAATATTGCAACATGCATGCGAGCATTTCCGTGAAATATAACGTATGTGTGCGTGGACGTACTCGTATCGCCGATACGGAATATATAGTCTAGTCAGGGTCGAATTATGACTGGCTTCCATTTACAGGGCTGCATAACGGGGGGCTCTGTACCCGCGGTGCTCTGTATGTCACAGGAAATTGCAGGCGTGTTATTTCCATTTAAATAATATGCAAACACCCATTTGCACCTGTCTCAATTTACACGTGGATTGCACTTACATCGTTCTATTGCTTCTCGTTTCAAACATGATTCTTGAGATACACGTTCTGAATGTATACCATTCTATCGCTTTTACGTGTATACGTAACATTTTAGATAGGCACAAAGTGATGAAATAAATGACACCACGCAAGATATTCTACACTCTCTAGACGCTAATTTAAATACTTTCAAAATTATAGCATCTATAAGTTTCGAGATTTATTTAATTTTTTAAATAAATACAAGTATGTTCAGACATATCTTTCGAATTTGAATAAAGAGGTAAAAAAAAAACACGCGTTTAAAAAATCCGATTTGAAAACAGTAAAAATTGATACTACAATAAGATGTAGCAATCTGATGGTATTTGGACTTGTTTATTGACAAATTGTCAATTGTGTCGAGGACTACACAAGTTACGTATTAAGTTTCCTGTACATCTTCTTCAGAGTTGTTCAACATAGCAACTGCGTGGACAGCATGACCACAGCATAGACCGTGTATAGTCCCTAATGATTAAAGTGGTAAAGACGTAACACAGCCAATGCATGGTCGGCGCAACCCTGGATAGGAAATCCAGTCTTTAAGGCACAAAGAATCGGGGCAATTGTGAGCAGCGAGCAAACTCAAGCCGATAGCACCGCACATAAATGAGGGTAAATATAGAAAACGGTCTTCTATCAACAAATTATTCATACTCCTTATTAGGCGTGACCAACGGGAGTGACATAAGAATACTACGTAGATTTCGCAAAAAGTGTAACGCGCAAATATTTCCGTTACGGTTTAGAATATCGGAAACTTCTTTCCGATTTTTATATTTTATTTTATGCGAAAAATGAAGGTTTACTCGTGATGTGTATTCGTGTGCGTTTCTTTTATAATGATTAAACAATTGAATTAGCTAAAAAGGATTAAACATCAGGTATCGGATAATAATTGAGCCGCTTTAAAAAAACATGAAATTTGACTGGCTCATTAAATTTGAAAGTATGCTTTCTCTTTTACAATTTAAAAAATATTCATGTTTATATTCAAGATATATCAAATTATTATATTCCAAACTGGCATATTTAGAATTCAAATACTGAGAAAAAATTGAGAAAACATTGAGTAAAGCTTCATGTAACGTTTTCTATGTAAATGTTATTACTCAACCGATCATGTCTGTGTGCAAGAAAAATAAATTTTCTATTTGCGTGGAGATCTATAAAGTGTTTAAGAGTTCTCATAGTTTAATTAAATATCTGTATCAACTTGATCTCCGCGAAACTATTTAAATGTTAATTTGCTGCCAAGTTTTCATATTAACCTAATTTGCACGATGAATTTATTATTCATTCAATTTCCATATCCGTCGTAGTATTCACTTTTCTAATAATATGAATAATTTTTATCATCCGTCTAAAAGTCTAAATATATTTTCTTTTTATAATAACATACGACTGTATACATAGTTTCTGTGAATGCAATTGAATTATTTTACGCGACGGATCATTTATTTCGCGTCATCTGATTAATTTCTTCCTTCAACAACACATCAATCTTTCTACTATAAACGGATTTAGTATGTAGCTTAAGAAACTAAAAATTACATGCAAATGCATATATCGGGCAGTAATATATTTATTGTAAAATGACACGCGTAGAAATTTATGCGTGCATTTCTGAATTAAAAAAATTATCTTATCAACTAATGTCATCATTGCATTTTAAGCAGATAAATATTAAGGGATAAGATTCGCGAAGCCAAAAAATACGATGACAAGGAAAAGCTCCGAAATGTTTAGTCACCAAAATAGAAAATAATAATTATAAGTAAGAGTCAAGTACTGCGATCTACGAATGCGTTTGGTAGCGCCGTACATAACTTAATTACAAAAGTAAATGTATATGCATTCCAGTATATAAAAGCAACGTTACGATTGTGCGTAGTAAAATATCAGAATTGTAACATATGCCAATAATACAGCTATGTTATTCTATGTGGAGAGAGATAATTGTGGTATTATTGTATTATTTAATATTATTCGAGTAAACCAACATGCTTATGGTTTAATTAAATTTACAACCCACGAAGAATATGAATCCAACAGCTCTAAAGTCTCTTAAAAGACTTTTTTTTCGTTTCAATATGTATGCTAGTATCGATAACGATTTTTATATTATGTCGAGATGTGCCATGAATCAAATGAAATAAAAGACGACAATACGAATGTTTAGATATGGTCGTTATTGAATTTGTGAGATGTAATCAACCGATTCGGAATTTTGGTCCAAAAGAGAACGGCTGTCTCATTTTGAGTTATTCAAAAAAAGAAAAGAGAGAGAAAAGAAAACGGAAACGCGTTAACTACACGATTAATTCTGTCGGGGAAATGACGATTGTCTGTAGAGCGTCCGCCGACTGTTCACGAGATCCGTAGACTCGATCGCACGTGTGCCTATATGATATGCTTTTGTCGTCCCTTCCTGCACTTCTTTCTACCCCCTGTTCCCAGGCACAACAGATATATGTATAACGCGGAAAGACAACGAAAAAGACAACTCTCTTCCTTCGCTGCTATTAGAGGAGCTGTGACTATAATTCCGCGCGCGAGGGACAAGAACAGGGAGTTGTTCTTTTCCACTGATATTACAAACGATATCTCGAATACTGGGGAGGGAGGAGCTCATGGATTGGTCCCGGCGATATTCACGGTGCGCAAAAGTGATCATAGGTCCGCACCCTCACCGCATTTACCACCAAAAGTGGCCGTCCGATTCGTATCGAGATTCTCATGTCAATAACGACGTGTCCATTGTGTCCACATTTTCACCACTCATTTAGCGTCGCGTTCATTACCGAACGTGGCTGCGTGATTCGAAATTTTGTCCGATATAAAGTCTATGTACAATGTCAAAAATTAATCGACATTGATGGGAATTAGATAGCCACAGTTATCGCTAAATATGCGATGAGAACGCGGATCATAGGATCGGGCAAAACACAGCCGATGCTAAACGTGCAGTGAACAACAGTCGTACGTTCACGGGTGTGAAAATCTATGATGGTGGTGTACCAAAAGATACGGTGCATTTATCGGTATCTCTTTTGCTATATAAAACGAGCTGCAATGCAGGGATGCAATTTCCACTGTCGTTTATTCGATTTACCGTTTACACGAGTTTCCACGAGAATGGCGCTAACGATAGAAATAATGTAGGCGCGCGATATAGACGATCGCTGGAAGATAGAACGAGGTTCTTCCACGATGAGTAATCGATTTTTTCTTTTAATCGAGGTAATGTGTATAGACCGAGTGATGATATCGACAATGGAAACGTATATAGCTTCGAAGGTAATAAAGTTTACGTCCCCGTTTCTACTGTGCGCAGCATATCCTTTGCCACAATGTATCTTAGATCACCAACTATCTTAAATTTAGAAGCAATGGGTGATGCGATGTTTACGTGAGTCACAAACACGGTGGTCTGGTGGACGGTATAAGACATTCGGCTGCACTCTTGTGGGATATTTTCGTTTTACATTTGCGTATTAATCGCTATACTCGGAACGAGATGAAATTAAAGATAAAAATTTGAGAAAGGAAGAAGAGAAAAAGCAAATAGGAATAAATATATTGAAGACATTCTTGCGTCTCTCTATATAAAAATCCGCCTAACTGGTACTCGTAATAATATTTAGCAGAAATTACTTATAATTAACGCGAATATTATTCAGTTAAGAAACACTCGAAAAGAGATTACGGTCATTTTTGTAGTAAATATTTAAGAGGAAAGCAGATGGAATAATAAATTATAAAAATACAAAATTTCTCTAGCAGAAAATATAAATTATAGCGTTCACTATATATCAAGCATAAAGGGAAAAATAATCTATATAGAATAATAGATTCCTTGAGAAAATTCTTCGATTATGAACGATATATAGTGTCAATACATTGATTCATTTATTTGCTATTAATGAAATGTATTATCTCTTTTATGAATATTAAAAAATATAAATTATGAAGCGAAGGAAGGAGGAAAGTTCTCTATTTGCTACACAAGTTCTCCTTGACTTTCTACACAATTTGCTTATTTAGATCAATAGATGGCTCGTGGTATAACCGAGAGATTCCTCTCGTATTCACCTCTTCGTCCCGACGATATATATATAATAATATTTGAAATGTAGAATTAAAATTAAAACGATTATAACCGTCGAGGATGGGATGTCCTCGGATGGGTTTTTATAATCCCTTCTCTTAGGGGTGCAGAGCTTCGGAAGTGTTTCTCTACCGTTTCTATTAATTCTACATTCCAGATAAATAATAGATATACCCTTTGCGGTCGTATATCTGGTGACAGCCGCCGCAAAAATTTTTTTTACCGTTTCGGTTGTCGGGTCTCAGCCGCCACGCTTCGCCGGCAGTGTTTATTTTTTGCCTAGCCGTTGAAAATGGGCAACGGAAGCCGTGATGCTTCGATGCAGCGAGGTATCGTTTTTACATTTTTCTTTTTTCCCTTGCCAAAGCATGCCTAATGGAATTTACGGGATTTTACAGGACAATCTTTGATTATAGGTGTATACACGCCGCGTCGTTCGCTCCAAAATAATTCCGACCAGTTGTGAGAGATACCCATGTCTGAGCACGCTACGACCGCAAATGGTTAATCCAAACCTCCGGCTCTCTTGGTCCCGTTGGTTCGTAGGTTACAATTCCTCCGGTCTTCCTCTGCAACCCACCATAGGAGAAAAAAAAAGAAAAAGAGACACTAGAGATTGGCCGGTTCGATCGACGCTTGAAAATCACGAAATCGCGACCTCGGCTAGTTCTGTCGAGTTTGCCGTTTTTTTTTGCCGTCGCATTTCGCGACTCAAAACGACCCCGTATCATTTATACCAATAATTCTTTTTCATTTGCACATCGTTACACATTTTTAAAAATATTGAGATTTCTTTCTTACATAAATGATATTTATCGCAAATATTACCATTGCGCGTTTGCGAGACTTTGTTCTGAATTCTGCTTATGATTTTTATAAAGTGGAAATTTATAAAATGGAAATTAAGTAGAGCACATTAAAGAAGTAAACTGATATTTAATACCTGAATCTCGCGCTTTGTTTTATACTTGCTCGTATGTGTATTTGCTCGTATGTTAATTATACTAAATGTATTATATATGCAAGTATAACTCTATTCGCGTTCTACTGCAATAATTCGTTTTATGTGTGTCATGGCATAAGCATTTATTAAACACGCGAAATTTAAACTCGTCACTGTATATACAAGAGATTATCTAGATATAAGTGAAAAACGAATGCAATCAGATTTCATTTGCAATTAGAATTTCATAAATTATAATTTACGTTAATTTTCTATGATGAGTTATTTTTGTCATTTCACTCGCATCCATTCCAATCCATACGAATAACTATTGATACAAATTTTAAAACAATCAGTAGGATTAATTTTGCCTTCAGCAATTTTCAGATAAGTTATCTAAAAGTTCAAGTGAAATTCATCGCGTGATTTGGTCTTTCGTGAATAAGGGTAAGGTATAAAACTCGGTACAAACGAATACGATGATCTATAAACGTGCGTGATCCGAATTCAGTTGTTTATCGAATTAATTTTTCACAGTTTAACTTGTTATATTATTGTTCAGATTAACTGTAAGTGATTAAAAAATATAAAAAGAGAATTCTCAAGAGCTGCAGTTTAAATTATATTCCAATTACAACATATACGTATATTTTAATTCTTTTGTACCATGTACCTCCCCATTATTACGCGTATCACGTAGACTAATGAGTTAAGTAAAAGTCGAGCTCACGAATCGTGCAAAACAGACGAATGACTGAACGCCTTCGAGTTACCTGTTTTCGTGGCGAACGGATCCTTGGGATGATTCGTCTTAATGGCGTTCATTCTCCGATTCTGCGGTCCTTGGCCGCCGCCAGTGCATCCGACGCCGGGCGTTTGGCCCATGCCGAGGCCGTGGGGCCCAGTGGTAACCGTGCCCCCGGTGGACTGCAAGTGCGATATTTGCTGGCCGCAGCCTGGGGGCCCGACGGTCCCAGGCCCGCCGGCCACGCCGGGCGGCGCGCCGGGTGCCCTTACACGTGGCTGTTCGACTGGTAATACACGGCGTCTCTTCTTCGGTAGTTTGGCTCGCGCCTGCGTGTGACTGTAATACATCGCAAAGTTGCTAACGATCACGGGCACCGGCAGGGCGATCGTGAGGACACCGGCCAATGCGCAGAGCGCGCCGACGAACATCCCGATATACGTTTTCGGCACCATGTCCCCGTAACCGACGGTCGTCATCGTCACCAGGGCCCACCACAAACCAAGGGGTATGCTCTTGAAGTCGTTCTTCGGATTGTATTGGGTGCGCTCCGCGTAGTACACAAGGCTAGCGAAGATGACAATACCGAGGACGAGGAAGAACACCAGCAACGTGAGCTCCTTTGCCGAGGCGCGAAAGGTTTGTATCAGGATCTTCAGGCCCGAAGAGTGGCGAGTAAGCTTGAACAGCCTCATTATACGTATGATGCTCAAGAACTCGAGGATATCAGCGTTCTCCAGGTGGGCCGCAAATCGCTGCAGCGCCAAGTCGACGTAGAAACTCAAGGTCGCGACCATGTCGATTAGGTTCACCGAGCTCTTGATGAAGTCGCAACGATTCGGGCTCGCGGTAATACGTATCAAGAACTCAAGAGTAAACCAGGCGTTACAGACGCATTCGATGTAAAAGAAGACATCATGGGCATTGGTGCGAGTCTTGTCTACCACCCAGGACGTCTCGTTGTTAATCTTTACCGAACGATTCACGATCACTGGCACTCGCATGTCCGGATGAGTTTTCAAGCAAAATGAAAGTATCGAAACGCAGATGAAGAAAACGGAGACTATACTGATTACCTGGAAAGATCCAGACATACGATCAACTTGTAAATGTTATATAATAGAAAACTTTAATAATACAAAGAAGAAACAATATATATTACTTATATATTAATAAAAATTAACATTATTAATTAAAAGTATTCATAAAGAAAAAAATTATATTGGTGATGTTTTATATATAGAATTATAATATAATGTGTATATATATAATTGAATCAATTATTTTATAATCATTGCTAAAACTGAAGATGTGAATAGTTACGAGAACTTTATAAATAAAAATGTTTTTTTTCTCTAAATGTAGATATGTAAGTATATTAGTAAAATAAAATATGTTAATTAAAGTCCAGAATTATGTTAAACTTTTTTATGATATATATAAATATAATAAATGTAATATATTAATTAAAATTTATAAAAAATAAAAATAAACAAAAAATATATTTTTATAGTTTCAAAGAAAAATTTAATTTTTCGCACAAATTATATATATTTTAATTAGTATTATAATTATTTGCCTAATGGTAATATATCAAACTCAAATCGTACCTTAGCTGCGACGGAGGAATAAGGTTCATCGAAAAGTGACCACATCTGAGGTTTGAGCTTCTGCCACCACGTGAGACTTCCCTCGTAGTACGCTTCCTCAAAACCGAATTTCCTGGCCAGTTCCTCGTCGGTGGGCCTCTCGGTGTCGAGGTCCAACCTGTCGAGGACCGTCAGCGTTTCCTGCGTATCCCGGTGCTGCAAGGGCGTCGAGGCGAAGGGGATGGGAAGAGAGACAGATGCAACAACGATTGTTATTCGTACCTGCGAAACTCTTTCTCGAGTGTGCTTTCTTTCGTGCTTTGCCTTGGGACAGATAAAGCGCGCGTGAAAAGCATACGCGAGCCGTTGTGTGCCTCCTTTCGTGAGTGATAAAGATATCTGCTCGGCTTTGATCAGCCTTACCGGCGGATTTGTCCGATGTTGCACTTACTTGAGTCTATCCCACATCGCTCTATCCAAACTAGTTCTCAGATTCTATTTGCTAACAGTATTTTCTTAGATCATGTACTATTTTTTGGATCACGAATTACCTCAAACTTTAAGATGAGAAACAAAAAATGCATATAAAGAGATGGGTTCTTTCATTAATACTTAATAATATTTATCTATCTTTTGTCATATTTTTTATTGATTATTTATCATTTTCATCTTAGAGATATTATCAAACAAATGATCCTATAGTATAAAGTTTATGGCCTCCTATTGAAATTAATTCATATATATAAAATATATCAAGATGTCTCATTCTTTTTACTAAGTAGATTCTAGAAATAAATTAAAATTAATTGCCATTAAAAAAGAAAACAGTAATAACTAAAGATTAAAATAAACTTTAGTGAAAAGATGTTAATATCATGCATTAAAACCTGGCACATTTGTGAGCGTGATAATAAAAGACGTACAGTACTTTCAGACAATATGATAAATCACTGACAAACTTCTCCATTTGATATATTATTCCAAGTCAAAGAAATTGTTATATCTACATATAAGTCTATTTCTATTCGTCATTTTAATCTGTTAAATATGTTGGAAAAGTTTACCAGCTACGTATCTGCTTAGCCTTGTATCCTGTTTACTTTAATCTCTACATCTATATATATCGTACTGTACATCACATTATAAATTTACGCTTCTGTTTCGCTGATTTTGCGTGCAGCCACGCTTAGGCGTGATTAGGCACGTGCACAACAATCAGACGTTATTCACGATATACCTGTGTATAGGTCATCCAACAGCAAGGCTCGACCTGATTCGAGTCAAGACCCCAGAAATCAAGCTCTTCCTCGAAAAGCGGGCCGCATACATCCGTGGGGTAGTGCAGCTTCCCGGTGCGATAGTAGTTGAGTACCTGGGCGAAGACACCCGGGTGTCTGTCAAAGAAGTACTCATTGAGGATCGGGTCATAGTTGGCGAGGGCCTCGGTCAGTCTCGAGAGCCTCGTCGCCGGGATCTTCTTCAGGGTTGCCTTGTACGTCTCGTGCCGGATTCCGCCCACGTTCAGAACCACGCGGTTCTCCGCGTCCATGTTTATCAAGTTCATTTTGATCACGGCTCTGCTACCGCCGGCCCCGACTTAAAGAAACCCATGCGATCTGCAAACAATTAGCGCTTCCGTCGCGTCATCTAAAATTAGATGGAAAACCGTCGTTTCCCCATCGCGTAGATTATATTGATTTTATCCTGTTAACCTCCCTAAAGCTCAAGGTTGATACAATTTATACCCTTGTAAACTGAAAATTAACTTTAAACCGATCGATCTCTAATTTAAATCTTATGTGAATCATGTAATATAATTTGGAAAATAAAAACGTGATCGTTCAATAAAAGAGTTTTATTTATTAAGCGCAAATTAATCCTCGTTTCTTATTGAAATGCAAATAATTCATTAACATTTTACACGAATTTATGCAATAACATATCCGACCGTGCAGCTCAGTTTCAAATTGAAATGTAAAACGTACAATTTATGATCTTATTCCGTCATGTTAAAATATCACATCCGTTCATGTGTACGAATAGTGCCTAAAAGGATCAAGCGAAGCATTCTACGCGTAATGATTTTATCGTAATATATCACCCCGGTTTTACTGACCGGTTGCTTTGACATCCATATAATCTCATTTGGATTATACGGCGTAGCCGACGGAAAGTGTCACAATGGTGTCATTGCTGCTTCAAATCCTACGTTTCAAAGACTGACGCAAAACGGAATGCGAGAGCTACTCTATTTAACATTACTGTCATGATAATTGTGACATTTAACATTACTGTCACGATAATTATGACATTTAACATTTCATTAAAAATCCCTTATACATCGATATCATATGGTTTAGGAATATGCTTTACAAATACCAGCGTTAGGATTGCTACGGTTCTTTAAGTCCCGTATCTCTGGGAGGAATGTATTCATTCAACTTTTTCATCTCGCGTTCACGATACAGCGCTGTGAGAAGAATAATTCTTGCCAGGGACATGGTATGTTAAAGCTACCGTTATGAAACAAAAAAAAAATTACGCAGTTACGATTAAAATATACGAGATTAAAATATCACAAAGAGTTATAAACAGAATTAAAAAAAAAATTTTAAGTTACAAATTGTTAAAACATTTAAATACTTCACGTGTCATAATCACTTCTCGCTCATGTGAAATATGTTCGCGTTTATCAGATTTCCGGACCAATTATTTTTTGTTAGGTTTGTACGTTATTTATATGTAAAACGTCTCTCGAGCAGAACATTTTTAAGTAACCTTCCCTTGACATCAATACATCTGCATACCAATTATGTGCGCCTCTGCATCGATAAACTCGCCGAACGTGTAATAAAAGGATAATATTTCAGTTTAACAAAACTGTTTTCGTTTCTAAATCCAATCTGAGAGGAAAAGTAAACATTACTTTTACATCATTCTCTAGCGCATAATTAAAAAAAACAACGCGTTAGTTAATAATTGTCAATTAAGGACAAATTCAAATTTTTAGATTTTATAATAGCACAAACAGCCAAAAATTATATTTTAAATTATAAAACGAAGCTATTAAAAATGAGCTATATTAAAGAAAGAATTATTATTTATAGAGAAAGAAATTAATAATATTATCTCCTAAAATTATAGGATCCCTTTCTCTCGATTTAAGCAACGTATTTCTTTTTTTGGTACACATACATTTAGATTCCGCGGTGACTCGAAATAGTCAAGTTTAAAAAACGTCGTGATCGAGGTGATCCGTATTCTGCCCGTGTAATCTTTTATACCGTGTAAAAAAAAAGCAGAACCGCATAAAGAAGGCACCGCGTGAAATCAAAGGGACAGGTGTATCGGTTTTTCAATCCCGCTGTCGCTTTGTATGCCGACTGTGCAAAGTTGTAACGGTTATAAAGGGTAACAATGTGGCTCGTGACTGTCCCTGACGAGAGTTGAGCTGTCCGATTATCAAATCACGCGCTCGGGATGCGTCACGTCGAACGAACCACCTGCCAGATACAAAGATACACGTCGGACTCCGGCATGCCGCTATCAGGCGATGCCGAGGTCGACGTGCCTGAGTCCTCGAATTAACGCGCATGGACGCAATTTCTAAATCAACCCTGATCGCCAACCACCGGCGGGTAGCCGGTGACGGTGGCGGTCGCGGCGGGAAACGTCTAGCAACGACGAAATCCGATCGAATCTTCGAGGTCGGGCCGTCGGGGTGCATTCCCGTGACGTCATCCGTACGTATTTTCGCACGTGCACGAGCGAGAGCGGCATTTCGGATGATCGACCGTGAGGCGAACCCGAGGGCGCGTTTTTCCCTTCTTACGCAGGCGAGCCTAACGAAGCGTTTGTCCATGTCCGAGCTACAAATTAGCGTCAGGAACGACGGTGACGGTGACGATGGCGGTGGCGGCGTCAGGCGGCGTCGGCCAGCCCCTTGTCGCGCGAGAATCGATAGTCTGCGTGCACGAAAGGCCGATATTGCGCCCTGTACGCTGCTCGACATTACCACCCGCGGCTCCGTTTTCGGCTTCCCTTCCGGCGAATTATACTCCAACGCCCGGGGTTGAGATACGCGGGATCTCGCGAGTACCGCTCGCCCGACTTGCGGTTATACTCGGTCACTCGGTGAAATCGTCGAACTCGCGATCGTACTGGTTGACGATGCTGCGACCGATCGAAAGAGAAACTGGCGATCCGAGAAATCAATGAGAAGACGTCAGATTGAACGAATGTTGGAAATACTGGAGTAGGTCAGACGGAATCGACTGGTTCAATGAGCGCCCAATAATGACGTGAACGGATCGCGTCGAACAGGAGAATAACTCGCAACCCGCAGCAGGATGAACGCATTATCGGTTTAATGAGATAATTCACAAGGACTCAGTCCCTAAGAGCTTACACGCATTCTGAATACTCATGGAATTGGCGCGTGGTGTTCGTGTTTCCTTCCCTTTTCAAAGGAAGGGCATCCTAAAGGGATACCCTCGTGATTGACACGTTTCCACTCGGACACGCAAGAGTTTCTTTCCCTTGACCTCCTCGACGTCGAGATCCTCCTGAAATGTCTCCTCTTCGGAACTGACAAAATACCCACCCTCGGTCGCGCTCTCTTCATGTCTCGGAGATCTTCCGCGACATCTCGACGGCACTGCTCCGATTCCCCGTATTCTCCATGTCGCCGAGCTGCGACGATGGTGATGGTGCTCCGCGAAGGTATACCGTAGGTGACAGACGGTCTCGCACAATAGGCACTATGTTGTCCTGCGTGCTACGTCCTGCGTTCGCACGAGCACGAGTCCTCTCGCTCGACTCCTTTCGTATTCTCTCCCACCCTCAACCCTCTCTCTCTCTTTCTCTCTTTCTCTTTCTGTATCCAGCGAAAGGTCAGGTCAGGCAGGGAACGCGCCGTGAAGGCAGAGGGCGTTTTCCCCGTCGCCGTGTTCGCGAATAGATCATCGGCGGAATGGTCGGGTCTTCATCATCGTAGTGTCACTCGATGCCGTCATAGACGGTCCGTCATCATTGCCGATTCGCGTCGTCCCCGTGACCGACCGACAAGCGGATGTGACGAGGACCTCCCTGAGGGTGGCTCGGCTACGGCTCGTCGCGCGTACAGAACTGAAATCGCGAACGAAAAGCGACGTCGTCTCTGCCGACGAAGGACGGCAGCGGCGGCGTCGTCGCCGAGGAGGGGGCTGGCGTCGCGACGGCGACGGCGTGCGGAGGTTGAGCGCGCGCATCCGTTTCGTACGCGTTATGTCGCGACGAGACCACGTCCAAGTGGCCCTCGAGTTCGACCGAGTTGGTGACCGAGGCGATGACTTAAAGTTACCTTCGGAGTTGTCAAGTCGGCCGTCTTCTCGGATTTCGCATTCGACAAATGCGTTCCCCGATCGTGATCATCTAAAAAAAAAAAAAATTCAAATATGCTATTTACGGTTTATGTCTTATAATAGTGTATTGCACAATACACGGAACAGAATGTGAATTATTCAGAGTGTTGAGATGTTAAAATAATGTAAAAATTTTGTATATACGTATAGTATTTTATGAAAAATTCGTGATTCTTTTTGATCTTAAACTTGTTACGATTGATGACTTTTTAACTATAATGCTATTATTTCTTTGGATGTTGCAACCTTTCTTCTCATTACTCGATAATATAAATCGATATTTAATGGTACTTGGAACATGTTCGATAAATTAATTAAATATAATGAAATGATTGATTAAAACTACAGAATTACGAAATAAAAGCACAATACAATTTATAATATTTCACTTATTTAAAATTTCTTTAATGAAGAATAATAATATTTCTTCCAAAACAAAACTTTGTACAAAATAAAGAATTTTTAAAAATAATTTCCATATATTCTTGTACGAAAAATTATCTTATTTTTATACAAAATATTTCTTTAGTAGTAATAAATGTCAATATTTAATTAATATCCGCAAATGTGAATAAAAGATTAGGTATCCAATAGATATTTCATTAAATATTCATTAAGCAGTGTGTGCGGTATAGACGTATAAGTCTCCCATATGTAAAATTAAAAAAAAATCGATATTATTAGATTGCAGATACTATTAAAGTTTGCCTGTGAAATTCATGATTATCCTTTTATATCAATCCTCTTATATGATTTAATATGTCGATTTAATATGTATTTGAAATTAACCGTCTGTTTTCCCAAGGTCTTATGTTCGATTAAAATCGTGCGATTCAAAGTTCTCGCTTTACTTAATTCCAAATTCGATGAGACTTAAATCGATTACATAGATATTCTCTTTTTAGGTCATGCGATTATCTTCTTCTACTGCCCTTTCGAATTAACTTTCTACAAAATTGCGATTTTTCACTGTGAGACGATCAAAACCCATGGGAAAGATCGGAATTACCCTTGTCGTTCTATGCTTTTTATAGCTCATAAAACGTCTGTCCTCGCCGCTTCCTATTCTTCTTTTCTTTTCTTATCTGTTCCCTTTCTTCCTTTTTTCCATTTCTACTACACATCGCGCGATAAAAATGTGTAAAAGGAAGATAGGTATCGATAGTAAGAACATATTGATTGATTCTCTTCAATTTATAATAAAAATGATCACATATTACTCACACGTTTCATTAACTTAAGAACAAGCCACTCGTTTCTTATCTTTCTGTACAAGCTGTTCTAGAATAACGGAAAGTATTTGCCAAGTCTCTTCCCATCGTTATCATTTATTCCCATCGTTGTGTATCATAAATCAAGCGATACTGAGAAAATTAAAATCAGATATCTTTATTGTTTTATTATCTTTATTTATAAATAAAATATTAAAATAAAATAAATATAAGTAAATAGTCTATGTGAACCTCCACAGGTGTTTGTAAATTATATATTTGTATGGCGATAAAATATAATTCGCAAGCAATTAACATGTACTTATCAACAAAATTAATTACAAAAACAATTAATTTGCAATACATTCTAATTTTTTGCGAATTATATCTTATTGCCTTATAAATATATTATTTACGTATTAATCGCGGAAGCTCACATATGCAATTTACTTTATATTTCATTTAGATCCTAGAGAGAGAACTGTTACACAAAACTGTTTTTTTTTTAAATAAAACGTGAAAAGTAATTGATATATTCCGCGGTTGTAAATATTGTATTACTTTTTAAAGTTTCGAGTTACGATTTCATAAAAAATACTCGAGGAAATAATTAATTCTACAGCAATGACGTATGTAAACTTTCGAAAAAAATATATGCAGAAATGTTTAAATTACATATTTTGTGTATTTTATGTGTTTTTTATATTTTATATATTAAATATGTATATTCACATTTATATTTATATCAAATAAATTCTTGGTGTGAATATTCAGCGAATCAACAAAATTCCAAACCTAAGTACTATCATTTCCTTGAAAAATCAACATTGTATACAAAATCATCAGAATATGGAAATTATATTAGTCATAAAGATCTTTAAATTAATATCAAAATTGTATAGATTCCTATTTTTCTCTAATTAAAATATTCTCAAATGTAAAAACTTAAAACTTGTATACAAAATATATTCTTTTTTCTGTCTTTACACAATTTTGAAATTTATGTGAATTAATTTAACAAATAATAATAAATGGACGATCATTAACTAACCAATGATAAACAGTCTTTTCGAAAAATCAGGTTTACCTGACGATGACTTATATTCAAATTGTCGGAAAAGTAGAAAGATGTATAAGTACTCGTTACGAAATAGGAATACAATATGCGTATGTACACAAGGTGCCACGTTTACGCGTCATGTCTCACGTGTGGGTTACAAGATATAGCTTGAGGTCGTGCTGAGTGGGTTGCTCTCGAGTGGGGTCGTCGCTACTCTCAAGCGAATTTCTCCACCGGTCGATGGCTTACGCTTGCGCGCTATTGCCTCTTCAGTGGCAACCTTACTCCCGAGTTGTATACCAAATTTACGCCGTGAAAACAACTCCGATACTCATCCATTAGTTGCGAGTGAAGAAGATTAACGTTCGATAACCCGAAGATAATACCGATCATATTCGATACAATCTCGAGACGACGTCCTCTTTTGTCCGTTTTGAAACTTTCTCAAACTCGGTGTCGAAGTTTATAAACTTATTTTCTGATATTTTCTTTATTAAGGGTGACTTCGACCAGACCTCTGATTAATTTAATGATAGTTAAGTCGATCAGCAGAATCGTTTAAGATGAAATATTTAAGACAGTTCGTTGTTCTTAATCTTTTTTCGATAGATTAGAACATAATTCTATTGATTATAATTTAGTAATTTTATTCATGTTACATAATAAAAGAGTGTTGATCAAATTAATTTTGTAGTTGATCAAAATCGCTTTACAAATCGCCTTACATTAAGTTATTAAAGAATAAAAGAATTAAAAAATTGTTTAATAAATAAATTATGTGGACAGATATATAATTATCCGGAATTGACAATTGACAAAGACTTTTTTTATTTTCAAATGGTAGAAGATGATTTTCGTTTTGTTATTATTCTTTGATTACAAATTTTACTTCTACGAATCGTAATTGGATAATAAAACGTTTCTATTTTCTTATTTTTTTTTATTAGATATTTTAATTATTTTCTAGTACCATCATAAAAGTATTATAAATAGCTATGCAAGCAGGTACAAGTGGCATTGTTCTCAAATCCCCAAAGATGCATTTTATTATCAAATTGATTGGATGTATTTCCATTTTGAGTGAGGCTTCTCTCTGTTTAATTTAATTGAAATATCTTGGTCATAAGAAACGGTAGATCAAATTACATGAATATGAGAAGATATTTGCCAGTTATTTTAGAAATGATTTATGTGTAACAAATATATAATTCTCTCATCAGATTAATACCTGTAATCATAATACATCTTTTAAATGATGATTGATCGAGATTTTAAGTTAATTATTAATTTATTCAGAAACTTGATAGAAGTTGATGATTCACTGTAGTGTCAACATAATTTTGATATGGTGATTTTTTTCGTCTTGAAAAAAACGATAGAAGTTAGTCTTTCTTTTTCGACAGCTTGTTGTGCGCTTGAAAATTTTATTTTTTCATGTTTCAATATCTGTTTCATTATCTTCAATTTTTATATAAAATTATTAATTTCAATTTTATCATAATTGGATAGCTATATATAAATTAATAGATGTTTACAGAGAATATAATATGTATGCTAATAAAAAGTGGAAAAGTTGTTGACAATATCGGAACTAGAAGAGAGATGGTGGTCAAGACACTGACGTGAACACAGTCTGTCGATAAACATGTCGGGAAAAGTTTTCGGTGTCATATCGCCGTAACTTACAGTGGTTATCATAACTAAGACCCATCATAAACCTCGCGGTGTACTGTCAGTTTGTTGTTGGGAATTTCCTGCAGTGTTACAGCATGAAAAGCCAGGACATAGTTTTGATATCTCCTAAATTTTGCGAGAATAATATATTTGATCCTCATTCTCAAAGATCAGAGACAACAATAGTCTGGTAGAAATTTTCTTAAATTTACTTAACTTTATCTTTAAAGCTAATATATATTTATATGCAATTATACAGAAAAAAGAGTTGAAATCAAAGTCTAAAACTAGATTTTAAAAGTTCTTTTTTTTTACAGAAAACTGAACTTTTAGCAGATTCCACTGTAAAAGTTCTACTTCCGTTTTATTTAAACCGCATCTGGAATTGTGCCCTTAAAATATTTAGCTCTAGCTCTCGTGAAACTAGAAGTTGAAATGTACCTGCGAGCGTTTAACGTAGAACATAAAACTGACAAAAAGCAGGATTCCTAATATAAGGAAGAAGACTAGTAAAGCCAACTCTTTGGCGGACGCCTTCAAGATATGGATAAGGATTCCAAGTCCGGACAAGTGCCTGGCACTTGAATAGTTGTACAGCAAGCACTATTGACAGGAATTCTAGATAAAAGTTTGGTTTTGTCAGAAACTCCCTATAGAAGTTTCGTTACTACTAGATCGATTATATTGATCGATGACATGATAAAGCGCTTCGGACTAAGATTTACTTGCAATTAAGTTTCATAGTGCTTATTATGTTAACACGGTCAACGATAACTCGGTTAATTAATTATAAATTAGAATGAATTAGCGTTATTATAAAATATTTAGGCCAAATATATATGATACATACTCAGAGAATAAAATATCATATATATTCAGAGAAAAAGACATAGTTATAGCAACTATAGGTCTTTTTCTATAAATATATATATTTTATGTAATTCCTATCACTATGTTCTTCACTGACAAGAGAAAATATCTCAAATTGTAAAAATGTTAAATTCAAAATGTTAAATTCTGATTTCAATAAAATGTATGTATATAAAATATATAAAGCAAGTTTAAACTTTTTTCATTATATTTCAAAAATTCAACATATCAAGAAATTGTATTATATAATTATAGTTTTATAATAAAAT